TGCGTTCGCCAGACAGACAGAGAGAGACATAGAGACAGAAAGCGAGAAATCACCCCCCAGGGGGGATGGTCACGCCGCAATCCCTTCTCCTCCATTCTCCTCTCGGGATCTTGGGCACGCACGCACACGCGCCCGGCGTGAGTTTTAAGCCACCGGGTCCGGGATGCGAGCCACAGTCGACTACGTGGGAGTCCAGCGACATAGCCATTATGCCAATTGCTGGTCCCCCTAGTGATTCTTGATTAATTACTCTGTCTGTGATTATCTCCCGGATTACCCACTTACTTGGGTGCATGTTTGAGCACCTGTAATGTATCAAAGAGTGAGGAAAGTGGTCTCCATCCTTGAGAAGGACACCGGTGGGGGCTGTGAGGGGAACAGATGGGCAGTCACTGCAGGACAGGTCAGGGGCTGTGAAGCGGTATGTACCCAGTACCTGGGGGAGTGGAGAAGGTGACAGGGGCTCAGTAGGGAGGCAGAAGAAGAGCCTATTGAGGGGAAGGTACAGGAACCGGCTTCAGGAGATAAACAGCATTTCTCTGAGTGTGAGTGTGAGAGTCTGCAGGCAAAGGGCATAGAACAGAAGGAAATTTGCGTATTGGAGTGAATGCAGAGTAGCTCGTTGTGCCTAAAATGTATGAAAAATGACAAGAAGAGGCCGAAAGGATACCTAGAAGGCAGCTTATAGAACTCTGTGATTGTGTGACCTCTGAGTAAGGTGGGAATTGCTGAAGAAGCTGGGTGTTGAATGAAAAAATAACCTATTAAAAATAATTTTATTTAAGTTTTTGCTATAGAGCGCAACTCAACAGAGAGAGACAAGGTGGGAGAAGGTGAGAAATCACACCCTAAGGAATGGCCATGCTGCAGTCCCTTCTCTTCCATTCTCCTCTCAGGATTTTGGGCACACACGCACATAATCCCAGCATGATTTTTAAGCTTTTGGGTCCAGGATTCGAACCGTGGAGTCAGTCATATGAGGTCCAGGTACCTTAACCTTCACACCACTTGCTGGCCCAAAGCAGAAATTTTAATTTTTCTTTTTTTTAATTTTTTATTTATTTATTTTTTTTTAGTTTTTGCTATAGGGTATATATGCTCACCAGAGAAATCACCCCTCCAGGAGGGATGAGCATACAACACGCCCTTCTCCTCAAGCCTCCTCTGGAGTTTCTGGTCATGCATGCACATGCACATACCTCTCATGATTTTCAAGCTGCTGGTTCCAGGACTATGGTCCATGTAGGAACTGTGTAGACAGTCAAGTAGGATCCAGCACCTTAACCTCCATGCCACCTCCCAGCCCTCCCGGCCCAAATCAAGTTTTAATTTTAAGACAGTTTTGGAGATAGAATGGACCAAAAAGATCATCTAGTCCAACGCTTTGTTCTCTAAGTGAATAAAGTAAGGCCTAGATATATAAAATGAGCAATCCAAAATTCAGACAAGGAAACTGGCCAAACCAGCGCTATAATTCAGTATTTCTGGATTTCCCCAGTCCACAGTCCTTCCATTATATTAACCTGTATCCTTTAAGTTACAGCATTTTAAGTTGTGTGAATATTTGTTATGAAATACTATTTAAATTTTTACATCTTGGGCTTTATTCAGATACCCCAAGTTATTCTGATGGAATAAAAAATTGCAAATGAGTAACTTTAAAGTAGGAGTTTAGCTTTTGTGTGTGTGTATGTATCAAAACATTTGTATCATAGTGATCATTTTAAATTTTTAATTAAAAAAAAATCTACTCTTCTACTATAGAAGTAATCAAAAGAAACTGAGGCTGTTTTATATAAGGAAAGAGTTGATAAGAAAAAAACAGGATGAATCTTAGAGATGAATGGATAATCTCCAAGTGAGTATTCAGATAGCTAAAAATCTTTGATAAAATATTTCAGCTCACTAATAATCACAGAAATGTAAAATAAAATTTGCAATTCATTAGTATCAAATTAAGAGGTTTCAGGACCAGCAGATGTATAATAGTTACGTTGTTGGACTCCCATGTAGTTGACCTTGGTTCACATCCCAGACCCGGTGACGTAAAACTCACACCAGTGTGTGTGTGTGTGTGTGTGTGTGTGTGTGTGTGTACCCAAGATCCCAAGAGAAGAATTGGAGGAGATGGGATTATGGTGTGGCCATCCCCCCCCCCCAGGGGGGTTGATTTTTCTCTTTCTCACACACTTGTACTATAGCAAACATTAAAAAAAAAAAAAAAAACTTTTGGATTTTTTCCAGAAATTTTATAGTATTGACAACTTGGTATTCCCAGCTAATAGGACTGAGAATTTGTACAAACCTTTTAGGAAACAATTGTTTGATATCATCAAAAATAATAAATTTCCCTTGATTCAATTTCAGGTAATTAAGCCTAAGTAAACAGTTACAAGCACAGATTTTTTTATGTATGCAGTTCTATTTTTTTCACTTACCAACAGTCATACCCAGAAAATCTTGTCTGTCCAGCACTAGGTGGATGGTTAAATTACAGCTTAATTAATTACAGCCATTAAAACCTGCACTTACAAAGAGTTTTAATGAAGTGAGCTAATCACTGCAATACGTTAAAAAGTAGATTTTAAAAACTACATCTACAATAGATTGTCCACCTATACTGCATGAAAACTATACAGCAGTATTATAAATATCAACCGTGACTTCTTTAAATAGAACAGATTTTTTTTTTCCCCTCCGTTAAAAGATAGTCTCAGTACAAATTTTCTGCAGCAAGCACGTGTTCTTGTTTTTCTTTGACACTGAAAATGACGTTTGGCTTAGCAATTTCTAAAATATGTTTAATTTGTGTGTGGAGGATAGCCAATGTATGGAGCCCCCTGCTGAAGCTGCCCTGCTGTCTAACTCGGTCACTGTTCTTCCACAGGATGTACCCTTTACATCGTCTGGGCCACTCTCTACCGATGTGCCTTGGATATCATGATCTGGAACTCTGTGTTTTTGACTGTCAACATTTTGCATCTTTTCTACCTTTTGTACAAGAAAAGACCGGTAATAACTAAAATTAAGTAATAGGGAAGTGATTTTAAAGCTAAAGCTTTTAAAGTACTTTGTTCAGATTTGAAAATGAGCATTTAACATCTTTAGTCTCTTGTGGTTTTGGGTTTTTTTTTTTTTTTTTTTTTTGGTCTGAAGATTAGCCTTTCTGTTTATGTATCAAATTGAAACATTTGAGTACTAGGGAATTTGTTCTATACATGAGTTTTTGAAACGTTTAATCATAAAACATGATAGCAATGAGGGCATGCCAGAACACCAATAATATTCTGTACAACAGTGTAAATATATAACGGTATAATAGACTGTAACAAAACGGAAACAATGTCTCTTAAAACTTCTGCTTTAAATAAAGGAACAGGTCACTTTGCTCACCTTTCATTGGCCAAAGCAAGTGACACAGCGAAGCTTGACAATGTAGGGGATGAAGTAGGGTTGATGCATGGTTGCTTTTAAAGAAGAGAAGGATTAAGAGGGCATCATGAGGGCCACTGGGTGGTGTGGTGGTTGGGGACGCTGGACTCCTGTGTGCCTGGCTGCGTTTCGGGTCCCGGACCTGGAGGCTTGCTTTCTTTCTCTCTCTCTCTCTCTCTTTCTCGCTCTCGCTCTCTCTCGCCCTGTCCCTCTCTGGTCAATTAAAATAAAATAAAGATAACATTTAATAAAATAATTATTTAAGAAAAAACACAATAGAGGGCATCATGAGAGGCCAGCAAGTGGCGTGGTGGTTAAAGTGCTGGACTTGGTAGCCAGCAGGTGGCATGGTGGCTGACCTTGGTTCGAGTCCTGGACCTGGCAGCTTACTTTCTCGCTTTCTCTCTCATTCTTTTTTCTTCTCTGGTCAAATTAAAATAAAGTAATAAATCTGTAAAGTTAAATAAAATCATTCTTTAAAAAAAATGAAGTCCTGGACTCCCACATGGGTGACTGCTGTCTGAGTTCCTGACTTGGCAGATTGAAACTTACGCTGGACCCATGTGTGTGTGTGCATGCCCAAAATCCTGAGAGGAGAATGGAGGAGATGGCATGGCCATCCCCCCAAGGGGTGATTTCTTGGTTTCTTCTCTCTCTCTCTCTCTCTCTCTCTCATGCTCTCTCTCAAATGCGCTCTCTCTGTCACCATCAATGAGTGCACATGTCTTATGGCAAAAACTGAAAGAAGAAAAAAAGAGGGCATCATGGAGAGAGTGAAATTTGAGCCGAGATTTGAAGGAAGAGCTGATTATGAATGTGTCTGTAGATTTTTCTAGATAATATACTCATTACTGTGCCACCGTGGTTAGTGTGCATGTGAGAAATGGGACATGTTTGTGAATAAATTATTTTTTATTTAAAATTTCTTTCTTTATTTGCTAGAGGACATGGCTGCTCACCAGAGAGAGACAGAGACACAGAGGGAAAGGGAGAAAGCACCCTCTAATCTGGCGTGGTCGTGGCACAGTCCTTTCTCCATTTCTCCAACCTGTCAGGATTTGGGGCACACGTGCACATGTGCCTGGTGTGCTCATCAAGCAGCTGGGTCCAGGATTCAAACTGTGCAGTTGGCCATGTGGGGTCCAGCTCTCAACTGCCAGGCCACACCCAGTTGGTCCATGAATCAGCTATTTTATATACACGTTATAAGGCCTCTAGAGGGGAGAAGGTGGACAATAGTGATGAGGATTAGAGTTCCTGAGTATCAGAACTTTTTGTAACCCTAGGAGCCAGCAGGTGGCGTGGTGGTTAAGGCACTAGACACTTCCACATGACTGATCACTGTTCCGGTCCTGGACCTGGTTGTTTGCTTTCTCACTTTTCCTCTCCCTATGTGTCTCTCTGATCAAATTAAAATAAGTGAATGAATAAATAAAATCGAATAAATAATTTTTTGAGAGATTTTTCGCTATAGGGCGCGTGCTCGCCAGACAGACAAAGAGAGACATAGAGATAGAAAGCGAGAAATCACCCCCCAGGGGGGATGGTCACGCCGCAATCCCTTCTCCTCCATTCTCCTCTCGGGATCTTGGGCACGCAAGCACACATGCCCGGCGTGAGTTTTAAACCACCGGGTCTGGGATGCGAACCGCGGTCGACTACGTGGGAGTCCAGCGATATAGCCATTACGCTAACTGCTCGTTCCCTAAAAAGAACTTATTTCAATCCTAAACATAGGGTTCAGAAATTGCGAATGTGATTGTAGCACCAGATAGGCAAATCATTTAATATCAGTGTTTTGTTTCTTTTTAGACTATAAATCTACTTTTTTGAAAAGCAGAAATGCTGGTGCTCCATCAGAATGAAGCAGTAGGACAAGTAGAAGCATTGCAGATACAGAGTGAAGTAGCCTTGAATCTTCCTCATGCTCTAGACCACAGGCTGCACAGTGTCTGCCAGGGACTTCAGCATGGCACTATTACACTAAAACTTCTTAGTTTTTGTCATGGGGTGCATGCACTTGTCAGAGAGAGACAAAGACAGAGGGAGGGAAAGTGAGAAATCACCCCCAAGGTGGATGGCCACATCACAATCCCTTCGTCTCAAACGTCACAGCCAGCTATGTAGGATCCAGTTCCTTGACGTCCACACTCCATCTGCTGACCTACACCATAACTTTTTTTTACATACTGTTCTTTCACTTTACTTAAGAATACAAAAATATGAAGCAATGATTGTAGGCCTGGATATTTGTTTTCCTATGTTGGTGCATGAAATAGTAAATACATGAAGATAAAATGTTTTCTGTAATATTTTTATAAACATTTTCCACATTGATTCCTATCTCTCTCTCTCTCTCTCTCTTTTGGCTGTAAATATAAAAGTTATTGTAATTTCTGTCTGTGAAACAAGCGTTTTCACAGAAAAGGTTTTCTGTTATTTATAGAAGGTGCTAAGATTAGGAAGGTGAACGTGGGACGATGTTTGAGACCTGAACAGTTGCTTCATAGCTCATAAGATGAGATGTGGTCTGTAGTGCAGATCTTCCCCTTAGGCTCTCACAGTGCAGTTTAACTGCAAAAGTGCCCTTTCAGCTTTAAAGTAGAAACTTATTTCAGTGCTGACTCTCGAGTAAGGTCCCGCTGGCCCCAGTAAGAAGGATGATGGTGTGTGTTGCAGACTCGTTTCTTGTCAGAGCCATATTGAGACCACAGAAGGCAGTGTTCTGGGTGTCTGTGTTAACACAGCGTCTACCCACTGCTCCCTTTTTTTTTTTTTTTTTTTTTGAAGCCCCATGAGTAGAGTTTTTTTTTTGTTTTTTTGTTTTTTGGGTTTTTTTTTTTGGAGAGGTTTTTGCTATAGGACACGTGCGCTCGCAGACAGAGAGACATATAGAGACAGAAAGCGAGAAATCACTCCCCAGAGGGGATGGTCACGCTGCAGTCCCTTCTCCTCCATTCTCCTCTTGGGATCTTGGGCACGTATGCACACGTGCCCGGCGTGAGTTTAAGCCACCAGGTCCAGGATGCGAACCGCGGTTGACTACATGGGAGTCCAGCGACATAGCCATTACGCTAACTGCTGGTTCCCTGCCCACTGCTACCTTTCAGGTCAAGATTGAGAAGGAACTCCATGGCATCTACCGGCGATTGTTTGAACCACTCCGTGTGCCTCCTGACTTGTTCAGAAGATTAACTGGACAGTTTTGCATGATCCAGACCTTGAAAAAGGGCCAGACGTATGCTGCAGAGGATAAAACCTCCGTCGATGACCGTCTCAGTATTCTCCTGAAGGGAAAGTAAGTGCCCTCTGGAAATGGAAATTTCTGCATTGCCTTGGCTATTTTCATGGTTTCTGAGAAGACCAATGGAAGGAAACATTTCTAACTAATGGAGGAAGCAGTCGGAATTTGTGGTCGGTGAAATTTCACTTTACAACTGCACTTGGGGACATTATAGAGCAGTGTGTTAAAGCGAGGTAGAGTTCACTGCTTGTTCTAAATCTTGTCAGTGCCAGGATTTTCAATTCTGAATATTTTTCACTGGTTTTGTTCTGTTATTTATAGTTGGAGTCAATATTAAAGAAGGTTTAAGTCAGGCATTAAAAGTCAAGGGTCTCATGCAGACTTCAGAGGTGATTTATTTATTTTTTAAATATCACAAAAAATAACTTCTGGGAAGAGGGTCAGCACATGTAGTGCTGGCATTTTAAAAATTTTTAGCATTCAATTTATTTTATTCTTTTAATTCCATTTTATTATTTTTTTAAACATTCGATCACTATACATCATTTGGCTTGTAAAGAAAATTTAAGTAAAGATAATTATTAAGGAGCACTGCTTCACCCCTCAGAAGTCTCCTACTTTGAATAATTAATTGTGTGGTCAGTCCGGCTGTAAGAACAGTGATAACCATCAGAAAGCACATGTCTGGAGTCTCGAGCTGTAGCTGGCTGCCGAGCGTTCGCGCCCCGGTATCTTCAGTGCTCGAGGCTGCCATCAATGTTGCTGGAGTTCCTCAAGACTCATCTGTGCCACCCGCCCGCCACACACTCTGCCATTGTAAGCCGCCATCATGGTGAAGCTCGCTAAGACTGGTAAAAATCAAGATGACCCCCCAAAATGGCTCCTCCTCCAAAGGAGGTAGAAGAAGACAGTGAAGATGAGGAAATGTCAGAAGATAAAGAAATGACAGCAGTGGAAAAGAGGTTACCATCCCTCAGAAAAAAGGTAAAAAGGCTGCCACAACTCCAGCAAAGAAGGTGGTAGTTTCTCCAACAAAAAAGGTTGTAGTTGCCACACCTGCCAAGAAAGCAGCAGTCACCCCAGGCACAAAGGCAGCTGCCATACCATCCAAGAAGACCACTACTCC